TTTTATTTTACTATACCTTCTTCTGTGGACGTAAGCATCCAGTGTTCCAGATATCTGCAAGCAGGGTTTGTGTCCCCTCAGTGACACACATGTTATTACACTCAGAGCCAGGTTTATAGGCTTTGATTAGGGTGAGCAGTTCTATTTATTTATTTCCACTCACCAACATTCTCAGACATAGTGCACCAGATTTTGTTTTTTATCTTTAAAGGAAAAAGCCCAGAAGTCATCATCTTAAGGTTCCATGTCACCTAAAATACGTCTGCCAAAGTGATCTGAGCCTGTCCTGTTGAGGCTCAGTACCATGTGAGTGGGTCCATATACATCTATTATATTATCACTCACTCAAAACGTACTACACCATCCTCTTTTATTCCCCCCCCCCCCAGGTTATCCACAAGTCCAGGGGGGGGTGAGTTATTCAACTCTGAGTGCTCCACCTCATTGACTGGTGTTAGTTTTTACACCATTCAGTCAACCATTGTATTTTATCCATTCTGCTACTTAATTGAATTATCACAGTGTTTTACAATCTGCACTATATTGTACTTTCTATATTTTTTGTATGTATCCACTTGACGTGCACGGTTCAATCAAGACCTGGAGGGGCAATCCCCAAATCCTCATAGTCCTCCACTTAAGGTATATTTATATCCAGGGGCGTACCTAGAGCATTTGGCACCCGGGGCGGATCCTGTGCTTAGCACCCCATCCCAAAAAAACCTGTAAAAAAATGTAAAGGTTCTCTTTTTTTTTTTTACAATTTGTTACAGGCAGACAGTCACATACAGTCACAGGCAGACAGTCACACATACACATTTCCTCCGTGCGGCCCCGTTTATCAGCTGTTTACAGTGTGAGCTGTACTGCCACAGCCCCCTCCAGCCAGGGCCGGTGCAAGGATTTTTGCCGCCCTAGGCAAAAGTAAAGTTTGCCCCCCCCCCATGTGACATCACAATGCCCCACCCATATGATTTGCCATGTTAACTAACGCCAGTGCTGCAGTGCCGCCGTGTTTACATTAAAAGGCCTGCAGGGACAGGCTATAGACACCAGAACCACTACATTAAGCTGAAGTGGTTCTGGGGACTATAGTGTTTCTTTAATGTGAGGTAAATTAGAGCTTAGTGCCACGAATAATATACTAGATTGCCTACTTACAACCAGATGAGGATGATGATGGGCTCTAGCTGCAGTCTGGCTTCACTGGTCTGGTGCAGAACAGTCTCTCTGCAGGCGGTTTGTAACTGTGGTCACAAAAATCAATGTTCTGGGAGAACGGGAAGCAGCTCCATTTTTTTGGGGTCCTTTACACAGCTCAAGGTCTGGGTCCCAGGGTCCACCTTCATGTTCCACCAATGAGTTTGTTCACAGGGGGTGGAGTGTGTAGGGGATATCCTGATATGTGTGTAAGGAATGCATTGTGTGAAATTGTGTTTGTATGTGTAAGGGCTGCAAGGTGTGTTTCTTTGTATGTATGGGATGCATTGAATGTGTGTAAGGGGTGCATTGAGTGTGTGTAATGAATGCATTGTGTGTTTCTGTGTGTGTAAGGGATGCATTGTGTGTAACGGTTGCATTGCTTGTGTATGTGTGTCTGTGTGTGTAATGCATTGTGTGTTTTTCTGTGTGCAAGGGGTGCATTGTGTGTATGTGATGAATGTCAATCTCTCCTCCCGCTCCAATTTCCTTCTCTTCCTCCCAATTTCTCTTTCTCACCCCCCCTCCTAATTTCTCTCCCCCCCTAATTTCTCTTTCCCCCCTCCTAATATCTCTTCCCCCCTCCTAATTTCAATTTCTCTTTCCCCCCTCCTAATATCTCTCCCTCCCTCCTAATTTCTCTTCCCCCTCCTAATTTCTCTCTCACCCCCTCTCTCCTTTCTCACCCCCTCCTTTCTCTTTCTCTCCCCCCCCTCCTTTCTCTTTCTCACCCCCCTTTCTCCTCTTTCTCACCCTCCCTCCTTCCTACCCCACTTTCTCCTCTTTCTCACCCCCCCCTTTCTCCTTCTCACCCCCCCTTTCTCCTCTTTCTCACCTCTCTTTCTCACCCCCTTCTCCTCTTTCTCACCCTCCCCTCCCTTTCTCCTCTTTTATGCCTCATACTTGCCTCTCTCTCTTTTCACCCCCCCCTCCGCCATACCTCATACTTGCTTGCTGTCTCTTCACCCCCCTCCTCTTTTTCACCCCTCTCCTTTTCACCCCCCTCTCCTCTTTTCACCCCCCTCTCTCCTTTTCACCCCCCTCCCCCCTACCTCCCTGTAGCGTGGCAGAGCCCTGTAGTGGGTACAGGGAGCTTTTGTTTCCTGTACTCGGCCGGACTAACAGGAAGTGAACACTCAGTGTGCATTTCCTGTTAGTCCGGCCGGGTACAGGAGACAGCTGCTCTCTGTACCCGTCGGACCATGCTGCAGTGAGGGAGCTGACAGGAGCGCTCCCTCCTGTCAGCCTCTCCTCAGGCTGCGCCCGGGCGGTGCGGTCCGCCCTCATGGACGCACCGCCCGGGCAAAGCTGCAGCCTCCTGAGGCTCTTCACAGAGCGCTCGGGCGGCTGCAGCATGGGGGGGGGGCGGGGGCTGGTCATGGCACCCCCCACCCGGCTGGCACCCGGGGCGGACCGCCCCCCCCGCCCCCCCCTTAGTACGCCACTGTTTATATCGTATACCAATTTTTGTCTTTGTGTTAAATTGTGGTTGTGCCACATCCTATCCGGTTTTGCGGATCAGTCTGGTGATGGCTTCTGGTATCCAGTACTCTTTTTACAATTCTTGTTTAGTTTTTCTTGATTTTTCTGGTTTTCTATTCCATGTCTGGTTTCCTTTAGGCTGGGTTTTTCTGGGTTCATTCCTGTATTCCGTCCCAGGAATTCCCAGTCTCCAGGGTTCCTTTAAATGTTTGTTTTATGTTGCCACCCCCGTTCCTTTTCCATGATTCCTTTTGTTTCAGTTGGAGCCTGCAGGCAGTTGCTCAAGCCTTCTGTCCTTTCTTGCAGGTAAGTGCTATATGTGTTTCTTATGGTTCTTTTAGCATACATTAGGCAGAGTAGGATCCCCATGATTTTCATATATAGTACTTAGTAATTTCTCCTCTTGTTGTTCCTATCATATCTTGTCTTCTTTTAGTTTGTATTCCCAGTCCATGTACAGTCCTGTCCTGCCCATGTTATGTCAATTGTTCCCTTATGTATTGTGTACATGTTCTTGGTTAAGCTTCCTATCCTTCTCTGGTTCTGGGTTCTACTAGTTCTGTCTTGTTTTCATTCTTGCTGCAGAGCCTCCATATTCAGCTCCTGGGAGGACTGCTTACTTCCTAGCTTCAAGTTCCTGAGATTCGCTGTAGCTGCATCAGTGTTCTGGTATGTGGCCGCACAAACACTGGTGCTCAACACCAGGAGGCGTGTGGTTACCCTGCACCAGGCCCTGATAAATCCACTTCCACGCTGAGACTCCCATCACATCAACAGGCAATCAGGGGTTCCGGTCACCGGACCGCCACCCCTGACAGGTTGGAATAAAGGGTAATCCACAATAGTATACAGAACTGCTATACACAGATTTCGCTATAAGCACTTTTTTGTGACACACACTCTCCCAAAAGAAGATTCTGGTTCTATTTTTGTAAGTAAATTCATTGACTTTATAAATATTAAATATGCATTCATACATTCAGATAACAGTTCGGTTATGTAAATTGTAGCCAATTAGAGTTTTATCTAATTTGTCTGAATTTTTTGGCCACTGAAAATTTAGCACAAACATCTTGAGATGTTTTCACCATAAATGTAATTACATTATTGTGTTTTTGTGCTGCTGTTCTTTAAAACACAGTTTATTCTTATTTTCAATGTGCCTCCTTTATACTTAACAGGACACTTACAACACGAAAATCCCTCCATCTTAAAGAGACACTATGGGCACCCAGACCACTTCATACAAATGAAGTGGTCTGGGTGCAGTGCTTCTGTCTTTTGAAGCCTGCAATGTAAAACGTTACTGTTTTCTAGGAATGGCTATGTTTACTTTGCATGTGTAATACGTCTCTAGTGACTGGCTTCCTGACAGCTGCTAGAGGTGCTTACTCAGCTACTGTTTTTCGGGTCTTTTATTAATTTGTGCTCCAAAAACTCACTATGACTTATTTTCGGGGGATGTCTTAATTTTTGGGGAAAAACTGTAGCATGCATGTGGAAGAAAGCAGATGTATGCTCGAGGTAATTCCCCCAAACATAGACCAGCTCACTAGAGCATGGAATCCTGCAAATCTATACTCAGGGAAATTTTCCCAATTATAGATTAATTTACTAGCTCAATTATAGGGCTTATATTACGGGCATCCTCCAAATATAAACTTGGGCTTATTTTCGGGGTATATATTTTATTTTCAGGAGGAAACGGTATAACCGATATATAAACTCAGTTATAGGTCAAATGCTGCTTGTATAGGTGTAGGATGGTGTTTTGCTTTTGCATGCACACACAATAGCATCCCAAAGCTTCCCTGTAGGGAACACATAAGTAATCATAAGTAATACTCATCTTTCAAACCCTCACATGGCACTAGGGAGCACCTAGATGGGTAAAAACAACATAAAGAGGTGAGAGCGCAAAGTGTTTATAGTTGCTTTCTGTTATGAATAGATAAGTAAGTTACCTATACAATATAAGAATAATATATCATAGTGTAGTATATCAAAATAAAACCCTTAAATAAAAGGTTTTTGGAAAGACTGGTAATATTTAGAGCCTATTATTAGTCAACTCTAGACTGTGCCAGCATCACATCAAACAAGATCTTTTGAATTTGCTTGCTTCAGTTTTTAGGTCCCAAGGAAAATTCCACCATCATGAAGAACCAAAATAATAACCTTAAAAGTAGCTTTATGGGGGCGTGGCCTAGCTCATGGCATGGACGGTCGCATGTGAATAGTGCTCCGATCCTAACAGCCCGGAAAGCGTTTTTCACCAGCAATAATTATTGACAACCCTGACTACAACTCCAGGAAAGATGTCCCAAGCAAGGTCCAAACAAAAACTCCCGGACAAGGGAGAAAAAAGCTCGTTCTTCGGAACCAGGCCGCAACAGCCTAAACAGGCCGCTTCGCACGAGAGTGACCAAGATGGCGACGGTGATGATACGATGCCACTCCACGCCGACCCGGTAGGGAACTTACCAGTCACACAAGAGATACTGCAGAAGTGCCTGGACGCGATGTCCAACAAACTCCTAGACAACCTAAACAAATCAATAGCAGAGATAAAGAAAGACCTGCGCGACTTAGGGGAGCGCACGGCTAGGGCGGAAAACAAAATGGACGAATTTGCGGAGGCCCACAACGATATGGCAGACCATGTCCAAAGGTTAGAACACCAACAACACCAACTCCAAGTGAAAATAATGGACATTGAAGACCGCTCGAGAAGGCAAACCATACGACTAAGGGGGATCCCTGAAGAAGTAAAGCACCCAGATTTGGCGGAATACTTAACAAGCCTCTTCCAAGCCCTGTCACCAGACTTACCTATAGACATGCTGCTTATCGATAGGGCTCACAGGGTGGCAAAACCTAAATTCCTACCGGCCGAAGCACCAAGGGATGTCCTAGCAAAATTACATTACTTTCGTATTAAGGAAGGAATCATGCAAGCTTCCAGAAAACGCAGAGATATGCCTGAAAAATACAAGTCCATACAACTCTACTCTGACTCTGCAAAAGCGCAGGGAATACAAAGACATCACAGAGACACTCAGAGCAAGACAGGTGCCATACCGGTGGGGTCACCTGGTTCACCTCCTGAACCAGAGAAACGGAACGGTAACCACCATCCTGTCCCCAGGCGAAGGCAGAAAAACCCTCAGGACCTGGGGGATAGCACTGCAGCAACAGCCGGAAAAAACACAAGCTACAAAGAGGCTGTCGCCTGAGTGGAAGAAGCAACGCAAGTGAACCAGGACGCCTGATGAAGACGATACACTGACGGGTCTGATTATAAATTTACATGCTTATGTACCATAGACTTTTAATGGTGTAGTTAATGGGGTAATTATATGACCAAGGAGCATACTTATTTGTTAAACTATGCACAGAGTTTATTGTTAATGCGAGGCTCTGCCCTGCTTAAGTTCTGTAGATTTCTCTGTCGAATTGGCGAAAATATGTAAATGCTGATTGCATTCGTTCACCTCCTAGTGGACATTCTAATACTAAACCAGAAGCAGCATAAGTTATAGATTCGATAATAGTAATTTAACGTCACCAAAGTTAAAAAACAAACAAAAAAAAACTGACATCGAAGGGACTGCTAGCTACGACAGTTAAAACACTCGGAGGCAGTACCAACGCTAGACGGGAGGAGCTATATGCTGTAGTTTGTTGAATTCTAATGAGCTCAAAGGTTAACAACAGGGAAAAGCTGGCTGCATAAGGGTGCCCCAGAAGGCTGTACATTAACTTGAGGGAGGCAGTTAAAAAGTATGGGCTATAGACTAAACGATTGCAACTGTGTACAATTACTAGTAATGGGATGGCATTGGCGACCCTGCTCTAGCCCCCGAGAGGCAGCAACAATAGCAGGGCGAGGGAAGTTATAAGTTAAGCGCTATCAAAAGTGACGAACGACACTATAGCTACAGGATATAAATGTAGAAATGCTAGCCGCGTCAGCAGACCTCCTAAGAGCAGCAGCAGGAAGGTTATATGTTATAGGTTATAAGTCTGACAGTTGAAACTTTGTCTTGATGTTACAAATGTCAATCTCAATGTATTAACATGCAATGTGGGTCAGCTTGGGAACTAGGGGTGCAGACTGGCCCTACACTTGAGATGACACCGAACCTGATGTATAGAGATAACACACACTAAAATACAAGACCCCACGCACAAAAAGCAGGAACGGGACACCATTAGGGTATAAATGATCTGACGTGTTCCTGGTTCCGAACCACACCTGACTCTATCGGTATCATATCTCTCATCACCAGTAACGAAAGGGCTAAGCCAAACGCTGACGTACGAAGTTAAAAATCATTCCACGACCCCCAGAGGTTATACGGAATAGTAACCACACCCAGTTATAGTCCATGCACCCAGTTACTCCCCCATGCCCCTTAACCCGCTATTCATTACCCTATCCGCCACAGTAAAATGACCCACGGGCAGCCTACAACCATGACCTCAAACAACCAACCTCTGAGCGAGTGGATCTCAAGCTCAGGGAGAAGCCAAATACACAGATTGGCCTCATGGACAATGCCAAATTAAAGAGCAATAACAATACAACCCCTGTGACAGACAGCTATTACCTACTGAAACCCCAATATGAAAGTATACTCTCATAATGTAAAAGGTCTAAACACACCGTATAAACACCACTGCCTCTTTAAGGACTTGAAACAAGAGCAAGCGGATATAATTTGCCTCCAGGAAACACATTTTAAAACACACTCAACTCTAAGGCCAGACTTATTCCCACACCAATACCACGCAACAACGGGACATAAATCCAAAGGAGTGACAATATTAATTAGCAACAAAGTTGCATTCACACACCACGACTCCTATATCGACCCTCTGGGCAGATACATAATATTAGTATGCACCATCAATAACACCTTGTATACTATAGTCTCAGTCTACGCACCGAATACAGACCAAAGGAATTTCCTCCACAAGTTGTTAGCTAAGATAACACAACTACAAAAAGGCATGTTGATCCTATGTGGTGACTTCAATCATATTACAGACCCAAAGCAAGATACCACAGCACAACTTAGCTCCAAAACAAGATCAAAACAAATCCAAGCGTGCACAACATATCAGAAACTACTAGATGAACATCAACTATACGATACGTGGAGAGTACTTCATCCACAAATAAAAGACTACACTTACTACTCAGCACCGCACAAAACGTACACACGTATAGACAGATTCCATATCCACAGACAACACCTAGACCAGTTACTCAACAGCAATATCAACACAATCAGTTGGTCGGATCATGCAGCTATAACACTAACGATTAAAGACCAATATGACTTCAAGCACAAGAGCCCATGGAGACTTAATGAATCCCTATTACACAACCCGATGGTCACTAAACATCTAGAGGAAGAAATCACACAATATTTCAACACGAACAATACAGAGCAAACTAAGATAGACACGGTATGGCAGGCGCACAAACCAGTCATTAGAGGCTTGCTGATCCAAACAGCAGCGAGGACTAAGCATGACACCCAGGCGCAATGGATAAAATGGAACACTCAACTGACAGACCTCACCACCAGAAACAAAACGTCCCCGACAGACTCACTGCAAACCCAAGTCAAGGATGTACAAGACAAAATTAAAGAATACACACTACAAAGAGTGAGCTATAATTTACATAGACTCAAACAACAACAATACACACAAGGCAACAAAGCGAGCAAATTACTGGCATCTAGACTCAAAAGCAGAGTAACCAATAGCAGGATACAATACATCATAGATCAGAATAACAAAAAACTAATTTCCCCAGTGGAGGTGAGTAACGCCTTCGCCTCCTACTACAAAGGGTTATATAACCTAGAGACCTCAGACCAATTAAAACAGAGTGATGAAGATATACATGCTTACCTAGCAAACACTCAATTACCGACACTATCACCCACCCAGATATCGGAATTAACGCCCCCCGTGACAACACATGAGGTAGAAGTTGTAATAAAAGCGCTGCCGAAAAACAAAGCACCAGGCCCTGACGGCTTCACAAATCTTTACTACCAAAAATTTCAACACATTTTATCACCTTACCTTGCGCAACTATTCAACTATGCCACTCAAACAGGTACACTCCCTCAGGAATTACTCATGGCACATGTTATCACCCTCCCCAAGCCAGGCAAACCACCAACTCACTGCCCCAACTTCCGTCCAATATCGCTCCTCAACACCGACGCCAAGCTATACGCCAAAGTCCATGCACAACGACTGAGTCGCATACTACCCCACCTGATACATACTGACCAAGTGGGCTTTGTAGCTGGAAGGCAGGGGTCAGACAACACACGTAAGGTACTGGACCTGGTACACAGTGTGAGGAGGGGGGGGATAGGGGGCCTTCTGGTGTCCCTAGACGCTGAGAAGGCCTTCGACCGACTCAGTTGGTCCTTTCTGCAGGCAGTGCTACACAAATTTTCGTTCCCACAACAATTCATTAATGTGATTAGAGCCCTATACAACCATCCTACAGCCAAAGTTGTGACAGCTGGATTCTGCTCAGACACCTTTAAGATCACGAATGGGACGAGACAAGGCTGCCCGCTGTCACCTATGCTATACGTCTTAGCATTAGAACCACTAGCAGCCAAGATTAGAGACGAAATCTCCATAAAAGGGGTCACGCTTGGAACTGAGGAATATAAATTAAGCATATTCGCTGACGACATCTTTTTGACACTGACAGAACCATTTATCTCACTGCCCAACCTTATGAAACACATAGAACAATATGGGAAATACTCCTATTACAAACTCAACTTAACCAAAACACAGGCAATGGGGATTAATATACACAAACAACAAATGGAAACACTAAAGGAGAAATTCCCCCTAGACTGGCGAACAGACTTCCTAAACTTCCTAGGCCTCAAAATCGTGAAAAATCCAGCAAACCTTTTCAAGCTCAACTACTTGAGTATTATATCGAACTTTAAGGACACTCTGAAAACTTGGGAAGGGAAATACATATCTTGGGTAGGTCGTATAACAGCAGTAAAAATGACACTCCTACCTAAACTCCAATATCTGTATAGAACCTTACAAATCCCACTGCCCAAAAGCTTCTTTCTCACGGCCCAAAACTTACTCCTTAGATTCGTGTGGCAAAACAAAAAAATTAGAATAGCCACAAAGAGAGGTAATCAAAGGTGGTCTAGGGTTCCCTGACATACAAACTTATTACAAAGCAGCAATCCTCCATACAATATCACAGCTCAAACCACGACCAGACCAACCACAATGGCTTGGGATAGAATCCCACTGGGCTTACCACTCCACAATTTACTCATACCTCTGGACCCCAAAACATTGCAGACCCACGACACACCACCTGCTCCCCACATCCCAATTACTACTCGAAATATGGGACTCAGTAAAGAACAGCATGACGGCCTACCAGCCAACACCCCTAGCGACCCCAATGGATGTAATGTCCAGGATAATACCCACACTAGATCAAAAAAGATGGTTAGAACACGATATCAACCACATTGAACAGCTATATGACGGGGGGGAAATCATGCAATTCCCGGCACTGCAAACCATGTACAACCTCCCCAGTCAGATGCTGTTTCCGTACCTGCAATTTAAGTCATGCCTAGAACACACCCGACCCCAAACACTACACGATGAACCACACCAGAAATTATCTACTTTTGAAAAAATCTGCACAAACACACTGCCCCCCAAAAAGGTGATATCACTGTGCTATAAAGCTTTGATACACTCCCAGACTAAAATAAAAATCACGTATAAACATGCTTGGCACAAAGAATTGAACCGAACAATTAGTGAGGAACATTGGACAAGAGCGTACTCATCACACAGAGGCATCACATCATGCACTAATCACTTAGAACTCCAAAGAAAAATTCTATATCGCTGGTACCTGGTACCAGATAGGATTCACAAAATATGGCCACAATCCTCCACAAATCAATGCTGGAGGTGCAAGCAACAGGTGGGGACGATGTTACACACATGGTGGACCTGTGATATCGTACAACCATTCTGGCGCAAGGTTCATTCAGCAAATAACGAACGCCAACATAGAACCCACGGTAGAGATGTTCCTCTTATATATACCACCAGAAAACTTAACTAGTGCTCAATGGGCAGCTACCTACCATATTTTAATATCAGCCGCAATGGTGATAGCTAGATTATGAAAATCACCTTCCGCA